GTGGGGGAACTTGCACAATCGGTGGCTGACTAAATACTTTTTTGCCCCACTGTATGTTTCACACAATACTGTATAACCAAAATACAACCAGAGTGAAATCCCCAGTTGCAAAGAGACACAACACAAACAAGTCATGTCAATATGATTGCATTTATAATTAAGACAGCAATTATTTGTTGCCAATCTATCTGAGACTGATTGCAGTCAGTTCGAGCTGGACTGTGATTGTCTGAACAAAGGTTATTGCCCTCAACCTGTGAAATTGCTGATTGATTAAAAGTGATCACGCAGAGGTTGAGGCTGCTGCACATTCAGCTTCTGGGCATTGCAACTACTTGCAATCAGTTTATAACAACAACAAAAATTAATTGCAATCAACGAGCAACCACCAGATTTTCCAAGCTGTAATGAAGTTGCACCAACATGAGGTCTGCAAATTACCACATCACATCATTATGTAACAGTTCTAATGTTTTGGTTCTGTTATATAAATAAATATTAATGGAAAAATACTGCTACAGATTTTAAAACTGAAACACAACAAAAAACTATATAAAAAATATAATAAATGTCTGCTGTCTGGCTCTGCCATCAATCTGTGGAGTAATTTTGAAAAAGCTAAAAAAGGCAGCTGTGCTGATGCAGTAACACTGCAGAGGTTCATGAGACTTTCAGCTGTGTGGTTGCAGACTAATCTACTCTTTTTGCATTTCTTAATTTGCTGCATTCTTTGTGTGAATTAGCGGAGCGACTGTTATGTTTTCTTGTGGGATTAGTAGAGATGCTGATTGCATTAGCACTCTGGGTTGTACCATTAATGACGCCATGATGTCGCCAAGTCGTGTGGCTTGTGGAAAAACAACAAACAACTTTTAAAACTTATTTTAGGACTAACTCAGAAGTCTTGATGCAGTTTAAAAAATATCAGATTTGAAAAGCAATTCCATACATAAGTTAAGAATCCCCACTGATTTAGACAGAGATATTAAAATGACTGCCCATAGGCCTGTCGAGTGGCAAAACATCCTTTTAAAACTAAACTGTCAACATTAAAAAATAAATCCTTTGTGTTTAATTACAGTGTTGTCCTTAAAACACAACTGGAGCTGAAATATCTGCAGCACAATCACTCAAGGCAAAGATTGCAGTCATTCTCATTTGAGAAACATGAAGTACAATTTCCAACCCTCCCTTTCCTCTGATGTTTTTCATCAGTACTGTAAATATGTGTGATTGTCTTACTGTTCCTCTTCTGAAAGTTTGTGATGATGCAAGTGCGCACTCATGGTGCAACCATAAAGGGCTGATCCAAGAGTTTTTCCCACTTACTTTAACACTGGCCTTGATGGAAGTGGAGGTTTGAGTTTTAATGACGTAGGACAGAAAACACAGTGAGCATGCTTCAGGGAAGTAAGTAAGTTTTCCTTGTTTGCAAGAAAATTCTACTTGCAGGGCTTTTCTCTGAGAAGAGATGAGATGGACTTAAACCCACACGTAAACACAAGTGTGATCTCAGCCTTGCGAAGTCAGATCTATCCTGCTTCACAGGTCAGATGAAGGAGGCAGGCGCAGCAGCTGTGATGTTTACTGTTAATGCATCACACACGCACACAGATTAAGACCCAAACTGTCCTCAAATCCTGTGAGGCATCCAGATGTTGATTATGAGCACATTAAATGGTCCAGAGAGCTGCGTCAGGCTGAGAAATCACCTCCTGACTCTGACTGCAGGTCTGACAGACGGACAACACATCCACGACAATGATCGCATTTTAAAAATTTAAAAACACAACTTCTTGACTCCAAGCAGGTTAGACAGAGGATTCAAAACCCAGTTGTTCTTGGTCAGTTCAATTCAATTTTATTTATATAACTCCAAATCTATAATAATGGTCACCTCAAGGTGCTTTGTAATGTAAAATAAAGACACTACAAAAATAGAGAGAAACTTCAACAATCAAACGACTCAATATTAGGAAGCACTTGGTGACAGTGGGAAGGAAAAACTCCCATTTAACAGCAAGAAACCCCTTGAAGAGCCAGAGCCTTGTTTTTTTTTTTCACATTTTCCCTTCATACACAACATCAGGATTTAAAGTCAACATTAGAAAAACAAGATAGGAAACAAGGTTTAGAACAAACAAACAAACAAACAAACAAAAATCTGTTTCAAAAAATGTCCTTGGGGATTATTTCAAATACTCTTATACCAAACACACTACATATTTACAGCCTCGATAAATTCGGTGTAAAGATACTTTTTGATACTTTTCTCACATACTCATCTTCCTCCCCAAACCTCCAAGCTGTCTGCTGGAGTTTCCTTCCTGTTAAAAAGGAGTTTTTCCTTCCCACTGTTGCCAAGCACTTGCTCACAGGGGGGGCATTATTGGGGTTTTCTCTGTATTACTGTAGGGTCTTTACCTAAAAGTATAAAGTGCCTTGGAGCAAATGTTGTGATTTGGTGGTATTTTACCTCCTAGGACCTTGTGTCCACATATGTGGACATCACATTTTTCTCAAAGACAAAAAACAAATCTTGTAATTCTTTGTTTTTACGTTTTTTAGGTCCCAATCAGCCCAAATAGCAAAGAAAAATTAAAAATGCATGCCATGAGAGAGCTTGGGTCTTAGGAGGTTAAAAAACAAACAAACCAACACTATACTATACTGAATATCGTACACAACTCAGGCTTCTCTGGCAATGCAGCATTTAGCTGCCCCCAGCGTCCTGTCTTTCACCCTCCCTTTAACTGTCTGTTAACCCGGGTGATTTGTCTAATGCTACGTGTTGAGAAGCAGGTAGGCACTATTACTGAGAGAGAGAGAGAGTACTCGTGCTCCAAACGTCATTGTGAAAGCACACAGTCTATAGGAGAGAGTGACAGTGCATCCTCAGATGTTTGTCAACGCATCCCTGCTATTATAAAGTCACTGCTCGAAATCATCGCAGGCCAAAATGACTCTGCAGTGCAGATCTAAAACTGTAGGCAAGGGCACAGTTGCTGGGTATATTTAAATTTTAAGCACACAAAATTCTGACTTCAAAATACCCACCAACAATTTTTATATATCCAAACAATGTGTAACAGTCATTTAGAAAACAGGGAACTGATGCGGTCATTTGATATTTTCCATCTTTTTCTGCTGAAGTAAACTGAAGTGTGGATGTGACTTTGTGAAAGGACGTAAAGTTTGGTTGACAGAGCAATCAGAGAATAGTTCGCGCCATGAAATTCCTCACAAGAAGGTTTATTTTATTTGGATCATAGTTTCTGCTGCTGATGTTTTAGTCTGTGTATTTCTTTGGTGGACTTTGAGCATCACAAAGCAGACTGATGGCTCCTGAACAAAATGATCCAGATGGATAAATAGTCCCAAGGGCCAGAGGAAGAATACAGAGATTTGATTCAGAGGTGAAGTGTCCCTTTAAAACGAACTGCCCCACAAGCATAGTGGTAAAGAGTGGTGGATCTTACCTCTCTCCTCTCTTTGGACAGCATGACAAAGCCGTTGTTGTCGACCAGGTAACAGCTCAGATCCTGAACAGGAAGAAGCAGAAAGAAACGGGTCTCTTTAGGATCTTCTAACACAGAGGATGATTTTTGGTGATGAGCAACAAACAAGAAACAACTGCTGTGCACTTACAGCACTGTCACAGCTGAGAGGACACACACCTTCAATGTCTGAACACTGGAGGAAGGGAAGGAAAAGGAAAGTGTGGAGATTTTAGAGAATTTAGTCTGAATGCTTCTTTTTATGGAAGGTAATAAACCAGTAAAAACAACATAATTAATATAATTAATGTTTACTTACATCTGTGTCGTTGGGCTGCAAGATGAAACAGACAGATGAAACAGACAGACAAAATGTAATTATTATAAGAAATTAGAGATAATGAGAAACATTAAGCAACATTTATGTTGGCATCCTGCAGAAAACTAAAGCTCGGCTGTGAATCCGTTTCTGTGATAAACACAGAAAATTTATACGATGCAGGTGAGGACGGATGACAGCAGCTTTCACCCTCACGCTGCTGCAGTTTTTAAATTCAGATTTTTGAATCGAGCTTCCTTAAATGATCCCTTTAATCTGCTTAAACTGTCACAAAGAGCATCTACTTGCATAAGATGTGGTTTTATTTTGGGTCACACACCATCATTTGGTTTAAGAGCACCAACAGTTTCAGTTTCCACTCGCCAGGATCAGTTTTCTGCTATAAAAATGCAAGAAGGCATACTTTTACATCCTGTTTTGAAGACGAGAACCTCTAATCCCCAAACTTTAAACTCCACCGAGGCTGAGAGGTTTTTACTGAAAGGGAATGACACGTTACGAAGCTCAGAAACTGTAAATCAGCTGCAAGAGAATGTAAATGTGTTGAGTTGGTCGGATGAGTTAGTGTCGGCACTGAAGCTATCCTGTAAATACATTAATCCAGCCCGTCACAGCTGTCAGCTCCTATTAATAACATTATCTACACCATCAACCTCCACGGGACATCTGCAGCTCTGCTTCTGCTTCACTTAACTGCAGGGGGGGACGTTTGCAAGGTCAAAGACCTGCGGAGAGAGTGTAATACTAGCCGGCCTTCTGGGGACAACTTTTTCAACAGGATCAAAAGTTTGTAGCCAATTTTCAGCTTATTACACAGCAGGAAGGAAACCTGCAGAGCTCAGTTTGCTTCTATTAGATCTTCACCATCAGGGGGAAAAAAATAAAGTCTGTTTCCTAAATTATAAGGGGCTCTTCTTGTGCTCTGCAGTCGTTCCAGTCCATGACAAAAATACCTCTGCTTGGAGTCACTAGGTAGAAATACAGCAGCAATCTTTCTTTCTCTTTATCAGATGGGAAAAAGATTTTGTAATTAGCACCTTCTTACATCTATTACAGAGACGATCAAGATCAAAACCATTAACTATTAGATAATGTGTGACTGGGATTTGGTCCTGTTATCTCCTGTAGCTCCTGTTCCTCTGATTGGAGACACTATTCCTCACCATGCCAGGTGCTGTCAGGTCAATTTTTTGTGGGGATTTTCTCAAAGCTACAGGATAAATACAGTCAGAAACCAGATGAATAATCAAGTTGAAGAGAAAGCCACTTTTATTTACTTCTGTCACAATCCTGATCTAATCACACCTCGATATTTTACATGAAAAGGCTGCAGCACCTTCAGAGTGCGGTTGGCAAGAAGCAGACTTGGTGTTGGAGCGCTTTACAGCCCATTTCCACAATGCTAGTTTCTTTGAAACATTTAATGTTCAGTCCTTTTCACAGCTCAGGGAGAGGTTGGAGGGCCAGACTGGAGTTGGGCCTACATCTCTTGTTTGGTTCAACCATCTGAGGGATCATCTGCACCACAGTTCATTACAACCAAAGCTCATTGTTATAATTTACTTAAGGGTCTTTCTTGAAAAGAAATCAACACTCTGTTTTGTGTTGGGATAAACAGACGTCATTTACGATGGTGGTCTGCTGTAGTACCAACATCACCCACTTTCTGATATTTCTGTGCAAAAGCTTAATAAGTCCAAGAAGAGACACATGGAGAAGGAAATGAGCAAAAATGGGACCTCTTTAGACTAAATGACCCAACAGGACTAACTAAAGAGCACAATCCATTTCTGATGTATTATTAAGAATGAAATCCATTTGCTTCTGATCTTATTGACTTTATTCTATATGCACATTTTGGTTTAATCCTAATGAAAGGTCAGAGAGAATTATCGCCTACACTTAATGATTTTTGCTCTCTAATGAACAAAAAGGAAAATTGAAAAAATGACCTCTGAATCTGGAGGATTATAACTGAACAAGCAAGAATCTCTTCTGTGTCCTTGGAAACTTGGTGACATTTGGTGCTGCTTGTTAACTACCTGGAAGACTCTGGCCCAACTGCAGACGAAGCTGCATCTCCACCACGAAGACGTTTATGATCCCACAGGGGGCGGAGACATAAAACTTGGATGGCTTGATAGCTTATTTACATTTTAGCACCTCTGGCTTTAAATATTCTCAAAAGTCTGCACTGTTTCAGATCAAACCTGCAACAGCAGACAGTTTGTACAAGGTCACAGCCAGAATACAGTTCAGCAGGGAATTAGGATGCTAAAAACAAGCCTCTGTTTGTCCTCTGATACTGTATATTCAGTCAGATCTTAGTTTTTATAAAAGAGGACATAGAAAAGTAACACAACTGTGAAACGGTTACTCTTCAATTCTATTCTGCAATGAAGTTATCAGTGCTGTAACATCAATATCCGATCAATGCCAGACTCCCACCAGGTGCATGTTGAGGAAGTCTCTGTGTTCAGGGTCAATTTAGCAGAATTTGACAGAAAACTAGTGCCGTGGTCTTTGAAATCCCAGCTGCTCCATCCATTGAAAATGATGGTGTGAATAAGAGTTCTGTAACAGGAAGTGCATGTTTCATTTCACCAAATCAGGGCAGGAAATAAGAAAGAAACAAAGAAATTAAAATACATCCGCGTGTTTTATCCACTTTAGAAAAAAGGCAATTAAAGCCTTTGAGCTAATGTTAACGTCAGTTTGAGTTGAGCTGCTGGGCCCTTAGTCTTGACTGGCAGGTGTTTGTCTTTGCAGTTTGTTGCTCCAGTTCATCTTTTTCATATACACACATTTACAAATACCAGTTTCATAAGCCAACTGTTTTCTTTTTTTTTAGAGATATTTAATTAATTAATAAAAGTCAAATACAAAGCCCATTCGAAGTCAGAATGCTATGTTAAATATAAAGAGCACTTAACTCTTTATTTAGAAACTGCACAAAAGGAAAAAGTGGGTTGCAAAGACGGTTGTACATGTGCAACAAATAAAGCAGCTAACTATACCAACTACAGTATATCAGATATACCAGTTAAATGTGTGGTAGGATGTGGGCTGGCATGAGACTCAAATATATTTAGCAACTGATTTTAGTGTCTTTTTTCTTTGTCTTTTTCACTCCTCCAATACGCTCTGCTGTCCTCCATGCTCTTATTTTGAAAGTTCCATCTCTGATATTAAGAAATCCTCAGCCCCGTTGTGACATTTGTCATCCTGCAGTCTGACAGACATCAAATCCACTATCTTGAACTGTTGCAGTTTCTATTTCTGCTCGGAAGAACCACTGCTAGGTGGATGGTCTCTCTAAGCGGACCCTGCATTTGGTTTGAAATTAACTCGTAACTTAAAGTGCTTGATTTGAACAGATGCTGCTGCCTGTCACATTATTCTGACAAATTCATATGGTGACCCCTAACCGAGAGATTATGAGAGAAAATCTCTACATGTAAACAGCAAAGGTTACAAAATAAGGAATTAGAAACATTTCAAAGGTTTTGGTAGAAAGCAAATGCCTGGCTGTGATGTTCTAAGGTACACTTAAAACACAATCTCCACCAACACCTTTAACTGGTTTGTTTCTGTAGCCAGCTTCAGCCCGCTTTTTAAGGGAAAAGTCACTTAAACTTCCTGTCAACCTCTAGACAATAAATACAGGTCAATGAAATGACCTCAAAAATGAAAGAAATCAGACAATGTGTGTTTGTGTGAAAGTGAGTCCTGCGGTCACCTGCTTGGCGATGGCCCAGAACCGCTTTTCCAGCCAATCCAAGGACATCTGCAGCCCGACAGCTAAAAATAGAAAACACACAGAGACACGCGCAGCATTAAGACAGACGCAGGGTAAGATGGACTCTGCAGAGGCGGCGCTGAACATTTTGCTGTGTTTGTGGAGGAAAGGGAGGTGGACAGGAAATCAATTCGACCCTCGGTTCACCTCTGTCGTGTCCTGACGCCAATGAAGGGATGTAAACACTGATGAGCCTGATGGTGTGTGTGCTCCCTGCAGGCTGGGTAATGACACATCTCTGGGTAATGCTCTGTAGCAGCTTCATTACTGTGAGCATCAGACTGTAGTACACAGCAAGCATTTAGGAGCATGTTGAACGGGGAACAGTTTATATTCTGCTGAGAATCCGTGTCAAGTTAAATCTGGGCTGATGTCTCTAAAGACTTCACTAAAACCCAGTTAACCACTTGCTGAAACCTTCGCCTGAATAACATTGGTTCAATTAGTGTGTACAAACTGTAACTCAAAGCAGATTCATCTAGTGCTTTTCTAGAGTAGCTCTGCATGATTCATAGTTTAGATGAATCCTTTATCTTTCATCATGTATATTAAACAAATATGCGAGACTGCTTTCTTTAATGTTTGCAGTATTGCTAAAATTAGAAGCATCCTGTCTCAGAGTGATGCTGAAAAATTATTTCATTTATTTATTACTTCTACGCTGGACTAATTCATTGTTATGAGGATGTCCTAAAAACTCCCTGACAAGCCTTCAATTAATCCAAAATGCTGCAGCAAGAGTCCTGACAGGAAAGAGAGAGCAGATTTCTCCTTCATTGGCTTCCTGTTAAATCCAGAATTCAAAATCCTGCTCCTCACATACAAGGTCTTAAATAATCAGGCCCCATCTTATCTTAATGACCTTGTAGTACCATATCAGCCTATTAGAGCACTTCGCTCTCGCTCTGCAGGTCTACTTGTTGTTCCTGGAGTATTTAAAAGTAGAATGGGAGGCAGAGCCTTCAGTTTTCAGGCCCCTCTTCGGTGGATATAATATAACATTCAAGATGATCATGCTCACACTGGATTGGCTGTGTTCAGTGAATGAAGCCTACAGAAGTGTGAGTGAGTTAAAAATGTGCCAACCTGACAGCCAATCACTGATCTTGGACACTGTAGCCATCCCTGTAAGTACATATAAGTACAGTAGTCATATAATGCGCTGTAATTTAGTTTGTGTTTGTTTGCTTTTGAGCTGGTTTAAGCTGATGTTTTTTCATTTCTGTCACGCAGTAGAACCAAACCAAAGCATCTAAAGCAGGTAAAGCCTTAGATGGTGTATGTCACATGCTAAATTGTAGGTAGTCTGTGGTAATTTCTTGTTCTTTGGCATCAGTAAAACATCCCTCTAAGGCCTTCAGCTAATCTAAAAGCATGAGGCAATGAACGCATTTTGGACGACACTGCTCTGATTGTTTGTTCCCTGCAGAATTGATTTCAAATATTATTAATTAAGCCCAGAGATTTCTAACCCAAAGTTATTAATCAGCCTCCTCTCTCAGCACGAGTCTCCAGGATGACTCGTTCCTTTTTGTTTTGAGGTTAAAACTGGTACAAACTGATCTGAAAGGATTCCTTTGTCATGACTGAAGAGATGAACGTTTCAAACCCTGCCATCACTGAAAACACTTTTAAACCATTCTTTTGAAAAATTACGTTTTGTGAGTCATGACATTTCATATTGCTTTACCCTCCATTCTTTCAGTGCTTTAACTATAGGGTTTTTTTTTAAATACTTTTCCAGGAGTCGTCATTTTTATGGTGAAAGTAAAAGCTGATAACTAAAATTAAAAAGCTGCTTTCATCTGTCTTAAACTCTTGGTCTGTGTTTTAATTACCACCATCCATTTCAAAGGTAAAAGTGCTGTGAGAGAAGAAAAAGCTTGATGGATGAGAACAATTACACAGCTAATGGACAAGGAAAGTGAGAATAAGACTTGAACAAAAACACTATCAACCTGCAAAATATTCTTCTTAGTGCTCTATAACTAACAACAAGGACACTCGAAGATGTTACCGTCACCATAAATGAGAGTCAGTAAGTGTGCACAGATCTGAATGGATTTAAGCTCACATGCTGGGTTATTGTGAAGATATTTCAAACAAAGTCTAACATTCAACATTCAAGTTCACCGGAGGCGCCGAGAGAGGCACTGCTGAAGGCCTTTAATGAGCAGTAATGAATGAGTGTCTACAAGGTGGACAGTAGGAACACGTTGTAGTTGACGGGAACAGATGGACACGAGAAACAAAGGAAATCAATCGAAACAACAACATCGAAAATGAGGAAAAGAAAACTGGATCAACTTCTGCTTTGTTGTCAGAGTGAATGATCTCGTTACCATTCGTGCCAGCACGGGGCATTTCAAAGTAGAATGGGAGGCAGACACCTCTCCTGTGGGGCCAGCTCCCAGCTTGCTTTCAGGAGACACACACCCTCTCTACTCATAAGATCAAAGTTTTCCTTTTTGATACATTTAAGGCTGGATAGGTGGTCCTGAACCCTCCCTTATTTATTCTGATAAATGAGCCCAGTCAATACTGGATTTTGACAAAAATTGAAGCAAGACTCCAACATCCAGTCAGACCTGGCATCTCCGCCCTCCGTATATTACTTGGTAACCTCCCCGTTACAGGACCTGTGGGAGTCGTTTCACCTCACAGCAACTTAATATCTGAAACTGTTTTTGTCACTTTCATAATGAAAACTCTTCTTCACGCAGGCAGCTGGTCTGGAGCCTACAGATGAGAGATACGAGGCGGCATGTCAAGCCTCTTGTGTTCTGGTATTATTGGAAAAGCCGAGCAGCCGTAAAACCTTTTATTTGTGGTCATTGCTTGTTATCGAGCTGCTAGTTATTGAGCCTTCCACCGACTGCAGACTCTGCTCTGATGCTGCAGTATGAAGAAAAAATAATACACTTTTGTCCGTTTGGTTGCTGCAGAGAGTTTCATCTCCATTCCTGCACTTTAGAATAAATTTTAGTCTAGTTTCTGAAGAACAGAGAATACTCAGTACTAATTGGCTGTGCAGAGGCAATGAGGCACCTCGCCGCGCTTTTAATACAGAACCGCAACTGATCATTAACGATCTCTGACACACTGACCTCCAACCTTTGACTTTGAGCCACATTTTTGCTCCTGGTTCTGCTGTGCTGCTGAGAACTGTGCAGTTTGTGATCCAGAGACTCTCTCAGTTTTGTTCGGGTTGATTAAAGATCTTTCAACTTTGAGCTTTTGATGTCTTCAAGCTGAAAGATGCTAGTCCATCAAGTGGGAAGAGATGCATTTGCCTCCCTCACAGGAACAGATTGTTTGTTCATTCATTCTCACCTCGTTCAATACAAATACCCAGCATAAAGTACTCTAAGAGCTTCCTAACAATTCAAGAAATATCTGTATAAACCTAAGTGGAAACTGTCTCTGGCAGCATTGGACCTGACAAAGTGTTTTCAGCTCATTTGGTGGTTCTGCTCAGTTTTTAGGCGTGCTATAGTGAGCACATTGATTAGCTGTCTGGACACCATTTTACCCTCATTTTTGCTCTTATTAGTTTCCAGAGTAAGAGGCATAAAAAGCCCCTTTACACTCTCTTGGCAGCCAGAAATGGAAAGACTAGAATGAAACGAGTATTTTGCAGATAAAAAGCTCATTTAGATATTCCCCACAGAGAGTGGTGGAGACTGAAAACACAGCTCAAAGAAGTCATGTGCAGGAAGGCTGTTTGGTTTTTCATGTTACAGGTAACGTTGCCAGTGGACTTGCTAAGTATCTTAACTCCAGACTCTGCAGCTCCTGGCAAATGAATCATTGACCTCTTCAGAATAATCTGACTGACAGAAGTATCTTTGGTAGTATGTCTGTGAAGCTTCTCAGTCATCCAGGTCATCGTAGTCTAAAGAGCAGTGTTGGGTAAGTTACTTTAAATTAGTAACTTAGTTACATTACTAGTTACTTCTATCAAAAGTAACTCAGTTACTTCAAGTTACTTGTTACTTTCAAAGTAACTAGTTACTAGGAAAAGTAA